TAGACACATATTTAGGGAGAGAGGGTAGACGAAGCTTCACACTCCCTCTTGTCAGTAGCCTCTGGACGATACTCTAAAATAGACATAAACAATCATATTTATTGAAGTAAGAATAGAATATTTTGTGAGCCATTACAGTTGAAGGGTAATGAAATAACCACATTTAAATATATATATTACCATTAAATTTCTGTTAATGCAAGCTTTAAAATTTGAGTCAGGTGAGTAGTTAGTCAGTCCTAGGACCCAGGATAAAATTACAATATGTGTAACTTTTAAAATGCTTTGTTTTTATATTACATCTTAATTAGACATGTCAAAGTTTTTGTGGAAAAGAAAAATAATTTATGATTATTTTGATTGTCTTACTAGTATTATGACTGAAATAATCTTTTATTAAAGATTAATAAAGATAAATATTTTAGACATTAATATTAAAATCATTTTTACTTCACTTTCTGTTTAAAATTTGCATTGCATTCATGTGCATGAGTGTACACAATTAAGGACCTCAAGAATTATAAAGTTTAAACAAATTATATGAAACCAAAATATGAAAATAAAATTCATGGAAGTCAAATATATATGTAATTTTTATATCTTAGAGATCCTCCAAAGGTATTTTATCTTGTGTGAGAGAACAACTTTAGCTGTCCAACTAAGACAAGGTGTCATTTTGTGACGACGGTTTTTCTTTACCTTGCCCTAGTCTTTTCTCTGTCTTTCACTTCTTTTCTGATGTCAGATATTCAATTGTATATGAAGGGAGAAAAAAAAACGCTCTTTAAAACAGTTTTATTTGGAGCACTTAAGCTAACTACTGTACTGGAAGTTATTGTGTTAAATTAATTCATATTATTCAAGCCAGTTTTTCAGGTAAAACAAGTGTGTGTGTGTGTGTGTGTGTGTGTGTGTGTGTGTGTCACTTTGTAGATACAGTGATTTATAAATATTTTTCATTCTTCATCAATATTTTAAAATAATTTTATTTCTAAACCACTTAGAAAATGGAGGCATAACTAAAAATAGTCATTTAAAAAATATATCTTCTTGCTACTACTGTTATTTGAACAAATAGAGCCTGTGTTAGGGAAGCAATATTCTGTCACTAACTTTATTTTCCGGGCTTAGGCATCTAAGCTCTGATTTCACCTTCCCAATCTGAAAGATAAAGTATCTTGCTTTAGAGGGTGTATTAAATGAGGCAAAATAACAAACATGAAATAAATATATATGCAAAAATATAAAATATATGTGTATTAATATAAATGTTCTTATATAAGATATCATTTAAAAAATTTTCCTTTGGTCTTGAAATAACTAATGACTCTTTTAATGTAAGTTCTGTGCTCTCATTATATCTTAACTAAGTCAAACCTCCAATAATTTCCACCGAAGATTTTTCTTTGTCCTATGACAATTTGGATTAAATTGTCAATTTAAAATGATTACACATTAGAAAATATGAAGACAGGAGATATCCTAATACTTAAGAATAATAGAATTTTAAAAAATTCTTTGATATTAAATTGAACTTAATAAGTGCCCTGAAGGTAAATGCATCTTTTAAACTAATTATCTGTACTGTGTATTCTATTTAATATTAAAAAGATACTGATTAAATAAAATCAATCACATATCTCTGTAGTCACACCTCACATTGGATTAAATAAAAATATACAGTTTCCATATTAATTCTTATTAAAAATACATTACATTTAGAATCATGCACATGTGATAATTTTCAAAAAAACTAAAACATTTTCTTTGCTCATCTTTGATATTTAAAAATTAAGTACAGGAGAGTAAAAAGAAGTAATAGGATAGCTAAATTTATTTCCTAATAAGCTCCTACTTTCTTAAAGATCTAAGTACCATGGCTTGCTATTTGGAACAGAAATAAACTACTGATGAACATGTAAATTTAAAATATAACTCTGTCTATACATTTTGGTTGTAAGTGAGCTCAGATATATCTTGGTTTTGTCACTCTCATTCTTGGAGTAAATTTTTAGTGTTTCTCTCAGAAGGCTGTGTGTTGCATAATAAAATTCTCAGGGCTGGTGGCTTTCTCTCTTACATATTTAAAACTGGCTCCAGCTGGATCATCAGTGTTGGTTAATCTGCTACTGCTTTTTTGTTTGTTTGTTTGTTTTTTAGAGAAGAAGCCACAAACCTCTGTTTCATTACCTTTTTCATTGCACCACCCCTGTGCCAACCTCACTTGTTCTCTATCGGTAGATATCTCATATCCCTACTGCTCCGAGAAAGAGGAAGACTTCACTCATGTTATCCATAAATTACCAATTAATAGAAAAAATGGTAGCTAGGTTTCACTTTCATGCCACAATGTCTTTTCTTTTTCTTTTTTTGATAATTTCAAATGGGGTGTTTATTATCCAGCATGGCATAGTCCTTGCCTTTGCAACATCAGATCTGTGTTACCCATGTGTGTTATCTTCTTGGCCCCTGTGAGTTTCGGCATTTGAGATCCAAAAGAAACACATTCGGAAAAGTGCAATGCCTATCAATAACTGAAATATTGCTTTTTCAAAAACCCTTTGTTTTTCACTTATCTTTGATAGTTCCCTCTCTGTCTCTCTGTTCCTCTGTCCCAGCAGCCTAGAAAGTTACCTCTACTTCTGTTTTAAAAGAGAGCTCTGTCTCCATGAAAATAGTACTCCTTTATCTCTCTCCCACACACCTCCATGACTTCTCCCCCAAACTTCTAGCAATTTCATAGTTTCCACTGAGATAATGTTCATATTTTTATTTGATTTTAGAAATATTTTACACACTTTTAGGCATTAAAGAATATAAGAAGGGGTAGAAAGAACTTTTTTCTCTCAAACTTTATTACAAAATGTTCACAAACAATATAACAAATCCAGTGTATTTCCCACATATATTCAATAATTGCTATTATGTTGCCATAATTTCTTTATATATACTTCTCCAAGGACAGTTTTCTACTTAATGACATTATTATTCTCTCAACTAAGAAAATTGACAGTGATTCCATAATATCAGTCATTATCTTGTCCATATTCAAATGTCTACAGTTATCCCAAAAATGCTTTCTGTTGCTTTTAGTTATTTACTTTTTTTTGGGTGGTAAAAGTGGAAGTGGACCAGGAGCTATCTGAAGCTCTTGCATTGCATTTGATTGCTATTCTGAAGCATTTAGACAACCATAATCTTTTCACTTGGCTGTCCAATGCCTGCTCTCCAATGCCTGCATTGTAAGCATACATTCTTCTAAGGTAAAAGACATCTCTGACTCATGCTCTGAAGGCTACTTGAAGTCTCTTATTTTGGTTGCTTGAGAGTCTCTGAGAGTTTCCTGGGTCCATGGCATAGAATAGGATAAGGATCCATAGGAAAACATTCTTGATCTGAATTTGAGGAAAAGCAAACTTGTATATATTATGACAAAGATGGAAGAATTATATTCATGTCTTGCAATGTTTATTCAGACCTTAAGTTTCAACCTAAAGCTAAGAAAGAAAGAAAGATAATAAGGTTAGCAAATATCCTAATTAACCAAGAGAGAAACTAGCACAAACATTCATTGTCCCTTGTGTTATGTAGACTGATTTGGACTCAGAAGTTAAGAATGTTCCTGAAGTCAGAAAGCTTTCAGTAAAGGCTCTACCAAACCTATTGTCAATTTATCTTCAAAACAACAGCGGTTACTTCCATTAGAGTCTCCCGTGGAATGGAATAGCTGACCAGAGTTCATACTCTTCTACCTCATGACTTCTTTTGACTGGAAATCTGTACCTACAGTACTTTCTGCTTATATTATGGCAGCATCTTCCAGATAGAGCTGTATTCCTGAACACCTTAATTTTCTTTGAGGCTGTGCTGGACCTCTTCTTGTCCTTCTGTATCACTTTGAGTGCACTGAATTCTTTAGTCCATCTCTATTCTGCACAGCTGTGAGGGTGTCAGGTTTTACCTGTCTCAGATACAGCTATTTTGTTGTTGTTATCGTTCTTGCTGCCTTTCTAAAGTTCTAACGGGTAAGGGAGTATAATAATATTTGGACTCTCAGATTTTTCATACCTGTCTCAGTGATCTAGCATTGGCCAGACCCTCCCTCATATAACTTGTATCTGGGGAGGAAAAGGGAATATACTGACTACCTCTTTCTTTGCAGGGACACACAAATATCTAAGAACTCCTGGCTTCCCATCCAACTCTTCTTCTCCCATTCTAGCATAGGAAAACTTTATCTAGTATTATGTGTGTGATTTGTCAACTATTTATCCAAATTTGTATTTTATGTTCTTACTTCCATAGAATGTAGTCTTTTGGAGTTCAGTGACCTTTTATCTGTTTCTTACCACAAAACTAAATAAAACAAAGGCTTTCCAATGTGAACTACCAAGTGGGAGGTGGTGGTAGATAATGGAAAATACAATTGTGAAGGCTAATGTCAATGTATTTAATCCTATCTTTAAAAATTACTCTCAAGTAAAATCTTACTACTTATTTAATTATACTTTTTATTCTTTTACTAATATTAATGGAATATGTTTTCTTATTTCTAGAGTATCACGAAATAAAATGAACAACATAAGCTATGTCTACGTTCAAAAGACACAGTATTTTTAGGAAAGAATGAGAGTTGGACTTCAAAATGAAAAGTGGGATGGGCAAAGGGCAAGTTAAAAAGTTAATGGAAATTGTTTATAAAAGAGAATGGAACCTGGAAATACAGCTGGCTAAAGAGGTTGATCAGCATGCCTTGGGTAGAGGAAGTTGTGTTTTGAATAAATAATTTCACAACCTAACCCACTCTGTGTTTGAGGTTTTCTTAATCAATGAAAGATATTTAATTTTTTAATTCAAGGAAGCAGTAAAACTATACCAAGGAAATGTATTTTTAATTTATGGATTTATTTCACAGCCGTTTAATGATATGCAAAACTTCATTGATACTTTGTTTTGAGTTTGACTCTTTTTCAGCTTTAATATGAACTTCTCTTTTTCAGCAGACTCTGCCCACTTCAGGAGTTTCAGTTCCTGAGGTGCGTAAGCAAAACAGGTTTTCACACTTTAAATTATAGGTCATTATACATCTTGCATTGCTGTAAAGAACATTTTGTGCTGGCTCAGTGACATTTGAATACCAGCATTTTATATTTTATTTTTTTTCATATTCCACTAATTAGAAGTGAGGATTTTCATGTTTTCAGTGATGGGATAGACTTGAAGAATTTTCAGTCTATAGGAAAACAAGTAGTTATGTGACCTAAAGTTCACAGAGAAAAATAAAGGTTACTTTGCAAAGAGTTTTTACTAGCATAGGAAAATAGTGTTATTTCCATTTTTTTTACATTAAAATGTGGATACATTGCAGGAAATCCAAAACAATTTATTCTTTGAATCATCGAAATGTAAGTTTCAATGGCAGTACCGTGAGAGACTCTTCCTTACTTGAAAGTGCCCATCACTTTTAAAGAATACAACTACATTAACCACCTGTCCCATGCCATTGTATAGAAAGACATCAGAATAAAATATAGTCACAGAATAAATGGCTTTTACTTTGAAAATAAAAGGAAGCATTGCCACAACAATTGTTTTCAGTAACATTTTTGCTTTACCTTTGCACTGATGAAGCAAAACCACATTGTTCTGTGACAATATACTATTCAATTGTTATTATCTCTATAGGAAATGCCCAAATCGCATTGGTTTCCTTAAAATTGTAATTTAAATCTGCTTGTTTTAGAAAGTATTACTTATAATATATGAATGCTACATAAGATTATGAATATGTTTAGAGGTTAACGTGATTGCATGAAAGTGTAATAACTGCTATTTTCTCCCCACCAAAAATGGCTTTTTAATCAGTGTAGACCCCTTTGTTAAATTAAAAAAAAAAAGTTCTCATATTTAGCCAAAAACATGCTTAAAAATACTTGGAGATACACTTAAATGTAATGTTTCTAATCTTAGAAAATGTTAAACTGATTTTATATTCTTTGAGTTGATGCCATTATTATGATAATTATTATTATAAAAATAGAGCTAAATTATATATTCAGGTGACAAAAGTATTAGGACAGTTTATTATTGCATTGGATAATTTCAGTTTGAGACCATTAATTTTGCATCTTCAGGTTCTTGAGTTTGTTTCTGCCCTTATCATCAGCCCAATCAAGTGAATACAGGACCCTTAACTTGGGATGTAAAGTTTTCTCTTTAGAGCTCTTAATCTCCACAATGTCCCCCTGTATTCAATTGTATAATTGATATCATATGGTTTTAGTAAATAGACCTAAATTTTTAATATATTTTTTCAGTTTTTAGGAAAAATGTCTTTATTTTGATATGAAGTGTTTAAAAGTCTTCCTATACTTATTTTTTTCTGGCACAATATATTGGTTTACATTAACTTAAACTCTACAGTATCCCTCAAAGTCATTATAGAAGATTTTTCAACTCTGTTGTTCCAAAAATTTCCTTAAGCCCTTGCATGGATATATGCATGGCTGAGTGTGTGAATACACATATATACACACAGAGAGACAAGAAACCTTATGTTCTACCATCAGGAACAGTTGCTCCTTGGTTAACGGAAAATGTGGTTAAAGTATATGTGGGAGAACATATAGAAAGATATATACATACATTAAATGTTTAACTTAAAATATGTAAATTTATATTCATTGGCTATATTTTTGAGGATTAGGGGCTTTTCTATGAGGACAGATCTTCTAATTGGAAATGGTGTCCTGCCTTTCTTGCATATATCACAAGCTTATCGCCTATAATAGCTTCAATTCTTTTAAAGTATAACAAAATCTCAAGAACATCTGTGAAGTAATTTGAGTGTAAAAATACTCGCTATTTTTATTAATACCCAAAGCTTTCACAGTTGTTTTCTCTGAACTTAATTTGACCACTCCTCATACACACCATACAACACACACACACACACACACACACACACACACACACAGCTTGTGTTGTCTTTCTAAAGTTTGCAAGTTATTTTTTATAGAGACGACTTTCATTTTGTATTCAAAATTCAATTATTCTTGTAATAATTACATTGCACAGTTAACAATTACAAGGTAAGTTTTACTTGGAACTGTCATAAAAAGAGTGGGGACTAAGAAGTCACTACGTTGAACATTTAACTTAGCTGATAGAAGAAGGCAATGAGTGTGAGCATGCGAGAGAGTTTCCTCCTGGTGCTTCCTGTCAGTTTACTGTGAGGACAGTCAGTGTAGTTTACAAAGGGAATAGAGAGTGAGGAAGTTTGAGATTGGTTACAAAGTCTGTTTTTTTTTTTCTTGAGACAGAGTCTTGCACTGTCACCGAGGCTGGAGTACAGTGGCACAATCTCGGCTTACTGCACCCTCTGCCTCCCAGGCCCAAGCAATTCTCCTGTCTCAGCCTCTTGAGTAGCTGGGATTACAGGTGCACAGTACCACACATACCTAATTTGTTGTATTTTTAGTAGAGATGGGTTTTCACCATGTTGGCCAGGCTGGTCTCAAACTCCCGACCTCATGATCCACCCACCTCGGCCTCCCAAAGTGCTGATATTACAAGTATGAGGCACTATACCCAGCCCAAAATCTGCTTTTATGCATATGTATATGTGTATGTATACTGTATATATATGTATGTATATATAATGTATATATACACACACACAAACATACACACATTGTTTTATAATGGTGCTGCCATATGCTAGCACATAACCAAAATTGAGTTATTTTGGCATAGACCCTCTCTTTCCTAAATTTCATTCCCTCCAATAAGGATCTTCTTAACAGAAGTCTTGTAAGTGGTTTATATCCAGGATAAAATTATCCTAGGAGCAAATACGAGCTTCATGTCTCATGTATGAAAACCGGGACTTGTTGATCAAGTCACAAAGTGCACCTTCAAGTTTAGGAAGCAACTAACACCGCAGGTGCTTTAAGACCAGTTGTCATTTTGTCTGCTTTGTTGCCTCCTGTTTCCCCCAGAGGCACCATCCAGATCACCACAGATATTATTCTCAGCTATGGTGACTTAGTGGGCAAATAAAGTATAAGATGTCAAATAAAGCACTTCTTTACAACACTTGCTTTTTACTATTGTGACCAAGCAGCATACCTGTGACTAACTTAATAATAGAATATGTCAAAATTCTTTATCTATACTTTAAAGTCACTACTGTTTACTGAGTGCCTGTTTTATGTTAGTACTTTTATCTAAATTTTCTTCCTTTTTTTTAACATGAAAGTTCCCATTCATAGTTGAAATTAGTGGTAACATAACAGTGGTAAATAATTTGCCCAAGCTTAACCAGAAATAAAAGACAAAGATGTGATTTGGCTTCTAAGCTTATACTTTTGCCTTTACCCAAAGTTGTTTTTGCTTTTTAAAAATTACTCACTTAACTAAGTTTTAAAGAAATAAAAACCTTTAGACCTTATATTATTTCTTATATGTGTTTAAAACTCAAAAAAAAAATCAAGACTGTTTCTCTAGCCAGCAAATAGTTTTACCGCAAATTCCACAGATTACTAGTAGATTCAGAGCCTTTGCCATTTTTGAAATAAATTTGTTTCCTTCAACCAGTAAAATGCTCAAATTCCACGTTAAGTCCATACTGATTAAAGGTGTAGCTTTGCAGTTTGTTAGTAAGTTGGTGTCTCAGACTGCATTTTTGTAAGCCCCACTGGGGGCTGTGGTAACATTTCTGCATCAGAGAGATCTTAAATGCTGTGAATCTCCATGTGATACCTTGGGTTAAAACTCTACAGTCCAGAAAATTCACGTGGCCTAGCACCAGTGGCAGAAAGGAATAAGTCTCCATTCAGGCAAGTTGTGCAGTAGTAGTGGGAAAGTAAGCTCTAGGATTCAAGTGAAGCTGTGGGCAGCAGAGCACTTGCCTTTGTAGCTTTGTACCAGTGGAGGTGCTTTGCTGCTGCCAGTTTCTCATGCTGAGATTGGACAAAAAGATGAAAACCCTGTTTTTGAGGTAATCATTGCTTGCTGCTTGCAGTTTGCCAGTGATCAATAACAGCAGGCTTAAGTATTGTGGTAAACAACCCTTTTGTGAAAGCAGTTTTCACCAATGTACAAATACTCTACCTCTGAGAATCAGCATGACGTAGACAAAGATTTTTTTTTTTAGAGCACGTATTTAAAGTGAGGTCTTTTTATTTTATTTATTTCATCTTTCTATTTATTGTGAATGGTCTTTTTGGCTTTTCTTCTCTGTTTATTATGATGATTATTCTTTTGGAATTCTAATACAATATATTCCCCAGTTAAGATCTGTTGTGCTACTTGTGGAGTCTCTGGATCACAAAACACTGAATTCTACGTTTAAAATGTCTACATAGCAAACACAAATGCTTGATATTTGAAAATGCCCAAATATCAATAACTGTATATTATATTTTGTAGTTATGTGTTCTATATTCTTTCATGACTTTTTTTAAGTTAGAGTAGTTCTTTTCAGTGTTTGAATAATTTCTATTGATTAAAGCAACAATTTTCTAACTCTTTGTATATCTAAGATAATTTATCTGGCAGAAGGAAATTTGCCTTAATTGTAACAATGTAATTTATTTTGTGATTTAAAGCCCAAAACTTAAAAACTGGAGGTTAAATGGCAAACACTGTCCCCTATTATCAGAGAGTAATTTTATTCTTAATGATTGTGCAAACTAAGATTGGTGAGCTCTTTCTGAAACTTTTCAGTAATTTCAACATTGGTAACTAACTCTCATAAATATCATAATAGAGCTCTGCCAGTCAGGGTCAACTGACCTCCCAAAACAGCTAGTGAAACCTGGAGGACAGCAAATTTTTCAAGGATGCCATTACCTTCCCTTCCTGTCCCTCATATTAAAAGGAAAGACAATTTCCCCATTGGATATAGTAGAATGTATTCACCTACCCTCATATTAACTTGTGCTGCTTAAATAAAATATAATGAGTAACTCAGAATGATTTCTATGTAAGTTGAAAATAAAGTAAAACAAATGATTATATATATATATATATATATATATATATATAAAATATATATATATATATTTTCGAGACAGAGTCTCACTGTGTCACACAGGCTGGAGTGCAGTGGCATAATCTTGTCTCACTGCAACCTTTACCCCCTAGACTCAAGTGATCCTCCCACTTCAGCCTCCAGAGTAGCTGGGACCATAGGCATCTTACCACCACACTCGACTATTTTTTAAATATTTTTAGTAGAGACAAGGTCTCACCATGTTGCCCAGGTTGATCTTGAACTCCTTAGCTCAAGCAATTTACCTGCTTCAGTCTCCTGAAGTTCTGGGATTACAGGCATGAGCCACCACACTCAGCCTGTTTTTATTATTTCTGATTGCTTACTCTAAAGCAATCGTTTAGTCTCCTGCCCAGCTTACTTAGGGGGGCTACTGTTGGAGGGACATGAAGCCATTTAATCAACTGCTATCTCTGCCTGTTGGAGGTTCTTAGCACACAAGAATTTCCTTAGCTGTATGAATGGCCAAGAGTAAAATAATGTTAGTAGATAGCTTCGTAGCTCTTTAAAGACATATACTTGCATGTCTTAAATTTCCATTGACACATAAATATATAATCGGTTGCAAATGCCCAGTTCCATTGTAACTAACCAATTTTTTGTGTGTGTGTGTGAGAGAGGGAGTCTCACTCTGTTGCCCAGGCTGGAGTACAATGGCGCTGTCTGGGCTCACTGCAACCTCTGCCTACCAGGTTCAAGTGATTCTTCTATCTCAGCTTCCTGAGTAGCTGGGATTACAGGCCCATGCCACCATGCCTGGCTAATAATTTTTGTATTTTTAGTAGAGACGGGGTTTTACCATGTTGGTCAGATCAGTTTCGAACTCCTGATCTCGAGAGCTGCCCGCCTTGGCCTCCGAAAGTGCTGGGATTAAAGGCATGAGCCACCGCACCCGACTGTAACTAACCAAATTAAATTTTATTTAATTCTTCTAATGTAAGCATTTAAAAATTTAAATGCTAAATAACAATTGTTGGGTAATTTGGAAGAATAACTGTATTAAGGTATATCACATTGCATATTTTTACAAAATATTGATTCTGTTTTATATATACGGATGCAAGAACCCTGGAGTAAATTATTTCTACACTGTTCAACAGCATTATGTTTTTGAACAGCTAACACAAGCTATACATTTTCAAATATAAGCATAGAACTTTTTAAATTTAAATATATACCTGATATAACTACTGAAATTTTTTTCATATACACACAGATTTGAACATATAAAAACACTTTGTATAATGGCAATGTTGATGAGCACTGAAATAGGCAACCACAACTATTTTACATCTTTCATAGTAATTTTTATATTGAATACATGCTTCAATGTAGACACAATATTAAGGACTATACATGTTCTATTAAACAACTCTGAGGAACAGGTATCACTACCTACATTTTGCAAAAGTGTAAACCCTCTAGGTTACATGATCCTAAAGCAGTAGGGATGAAATTCATCTCAGGAGTTCTGATTCCAAACCTTATCTAATAATCCACTCCTCTTATACATTATTCCATTTAACTATAAACAATTATAATTTGCAAACTTAGAAAGAACTTTCTTTTAAAAATCAATATTTTGCCAGAAATTATGAAAGCACATCATTTTCTAAAGAACTTGAATTTCAGGAATCCTATTATGCCATCCATCTTCAGCAACACACAAAATATATTCATTGTTTTTGCACCATGGAATTGCAAGGTAAATAGACTACACTGATTAGCATTTATTTTAGTCAGAGACTATTTCTGATTTATCTAGCCCTTATATATTTAAAAATAGTTTTACTTTAGAAGCTACTTAAAAATATATTTCTAGGAATAAATTCAAAGCTCGATAGCAGAGAAGGAGGACTATGCTTAAAAAATGTATTATACTTGGGCAATGATTACTCTAAATACCCTGACTTGATCATTACACATTAGATAAATGCAAGAAATTTCTCAGTTACCCCATACATTTGCACAAATAAAAACCTATCTTTCTAAATTACAGAAACTGAAATGATACTCTTACAAACAAATACAAAAACTAGGAAATATATACAGCTAAGTAAGTGATAGGCAATGTGTGCCACGAAAGCACTTAAGTAACCATGGCAGACATTGCCAATTAGGACAATTTTTCTCATCAACCCTGGATCCGCAAGAATCCTTCTCAACCGTATGCTTTGAGAACTTAGAAAACTATTTAAAAAATGTTTTTATTTATTTCTTCATTCATTTATCTTGACATTTGTTAATCATGATTTAGGGTTTGATATATACCAGTGAAACAAAGCAAGTCCTTTTTTCTTATGGAACTTTGGTTAATATGAAAGAATGCAGACAATTAAACAAATCAAATAATATCACAGGTTATAATAATTCGTATTTTAAAGGAGGCTAAAGGGACTAGAGAATCTTGTCTGACATTTGACCACATCATGAAGTGAAAACCAAGGTCAACAAATATGCATGTTTTCCAGCAGGGTGCAGAATGATTGCAAAAGCTCTGAATTAAAAGCATGATTGTTATGATCAAGGAACAAGGAAGAAAGAGGCCAGGGCAGCTGGAGTGGAGTAAAAAAAGGGATGAGTTTGGCTTTTGTGCAGACCTTGGTGTAGGGAGACAACTTATGGAAGTAGATTGATTCATTAGGTGATAGTTAGAATAATCCAAGCCAAAAAAGATAATGGCTGTTTAAACCATGTAATGAGGCAGGTGGTGAGTAGTCATTCAGTTTGAGAGTAGGTAGGAAATTTTTAAAGAAACTAATTTTGGACATTGTACAATTAGGTGTTTCAGACTCTAGTGTGGAGATACAGAAACAGTATCTGTATATAGGAATTAAGGCTCAGGTACAAATCAGAACTAGGATTATACATTTAGAAGTCTTCATAAACATGAAATTGAAAGCTATGGGAATGAATGAAGTTACCTAGGGAGTGAGTATAAATAGAGAAGATGAGAAGTCCAAGGAAAAGGCTGAATCTTACAGGTTGTGAAGCTGGAGAAGCGACGGGCAAAAGAGACTATGAGGGAGACGTTGTAAAGGAAGAAGAGAGCTCAGAGAAACGTGTCCTAGAAGCCACATGAAGCAAGTTTTCAAAAAGTAAGAAGAGATCAGTTATATCAGATGCTGCTGAAAGTTTTGAGAAGATGAAGACTGACCATTTGAGGTGAAACTGAGATGGTCGTCAGTGATTTTAATAAAAGATAGTTTGGTGGTATAATGGTGATAAAAATTGATTGGGTTGTTTTAAGAGAGAGTGAGAAGAGAGGAAATAGAAACGGGGAGCAGGCAACTACTAAAATAAATTTTTCAGTATGAGGAACAAAGGATAATTCCAAGGTGGAATGTCAGTTTTAAGCCATATGCTATCTCTGATACAAACAATAACTTAAAAGTCCATCATGCAATTAAAATTCATTTTCAATATTGTATGTATTTATAAGCTTTTCTTAGTACTCAGTACTACATTCATTAAACTGTAATTCTATACCCTGTATCTCTATCATTGCATATGAAATAATCAACTTTAGTGATCCTTAATAACTTTTGATAAAGAGTCATAATTGGGCACATAGGGATAATACAATTTGGTATTCTTTCTCATTATTTTTTTAAATGATGTTTTGATCATGAAGCTATCATATATATTTTGAGCCAGTTAAAAACCATAGCTTTCATGTCATACACTAGGAACTTCAAATTAGGAAGTTGGGCCTTAGTTTGTAACCATGAAACTCCTCTATTAGTAAAACAACTTAACATTTTATTATGTTATTTTCCTAATTTTTATTTTTATCAAAGGTTTTTTTTTTTTTTAAACAGGACAGACAATCAACAGTGAAAAAGGAAAAGAGTAGTTCCCAGCAGCCAAACAAAGTGATCGACAAGAACAAAATGCAGAGAGCCAACTCTGTTACTGTGGATGGGCAAGGCCTGCAGGTATGATTTTTTAAGTAGAAATTTTAGTAGGTTTCATGTTTGTTACTTCTAGACCCTCAAAGGGGCATATGTTCAGCTATCAACACATTTGTTTAATGTGCATATTAGCTTAGTAGACTCCTTCAGAAATATCTTTTATTAATTTTTCAAAATGTCAGTCTTATAGTTGATTGACAGTAACATTCTGGTTAATCATTTATGATTTTATCTCCATTTAAACTCAATTTGTCAAGAGATCTTTTGAAAGATTTGCCAATTACTGCTAAATATACACACTTATTAGATACATATATGTTATTTATTTACAGGTATACTTCATCTCTCTATATATATATACTTAGTTTGGGCATGATTTGAAGAGTCATTTTGATAGCAAGAAAAGTCTTTAGGAGAGAAGGAAATAAACTCTATGAATATATTTGTTTCTGAAAAATTTTTAATACATTTATTATATTTCTGTCTTTCAAAAATTTAAGTCAAAATTTAAATCCCTAATATATTTCTAGTTTAAATAAACACATTCGTTTTTTAATACTACTTAAAAACCTATAAATTATCCTTCTGGTCTCTGGCACCAAAAATAACATTTTAAGACGTTGTATAGGACGAATGCATGATATTTACTTACCTCTGGTTTTTTAACTATATATCTTACTTCAACAGGAGAATGGTCAATAAAGTTGGCTTAATTTTTAACATTGTGGACTTAGTATGTTTTTATACTTATGTTTTGCCCTCCAACTCTCTCTGCTTCAAGTTTTACATTCTCTGGGAATATTTACCAACAATTTAAACACAGAAATTATGTCACACACTTGCATTTAATGTATTTGATTTTCTGTCATTTTTTATGTATTCCTTTATTTTCGATGCTATAGATTATGTCTTTTGTGTTTTTCAATATGCAAACAGTTCAGGGTGCATAGTAGATCCCTAAATGCTTGCTTCTTCATGGTCTGAATATCTCATTGAAAATTTAATAATACTTTACTAAATATTGATAACTGTTACTGTTTGTTTTTATCTAAAAATCTGTTATGAATAGAAAATTTTTCATAAATTATGAAACTCAAATATAAAAAAGAAAATTCTGCGGCTGGGCGCGGTGCTCATGCCTATAATCCCAGCATTTTGGGAGGCTGAGGTAGGTGGATCACGACGTCAAGAGATCGAGACCATCCTGGTCAACACGGTGAAACCCTGTCTTTACTAAAAATACAAAAAATTAGCTGGGCGTGGTGGCACACGCCTGTAATCCCAGCTACTCGGGAGGCTGAGGCAGTAGAATTGCTTGAACCCAGGAGGTGGAGGTTGCGGTGAGCCGAGATCGCGCCATTGCACTCCAGCCTGGGCAACAAGAGCGAAACTCTGTCTCAAAAAAAAAAAAAAAGAAAAAAGAAAAAAAAGAAAATTCAGAATGATAAAATTATGATATGTTAGAAAATATAAAATTTGTTTGTAAAAAGAGTAAACCAGGATATACATTTTGGGAGTCATATCTAAATGTTTAGAAACTTCATAGAGTGTATCAAATATGAAATCTATGCTTACTTTTAGTAGCAAAAAATCTTAATTAAATGATCCTATAAAATTTGTATTGAAACAAATCAACATTTCACTTCAATATGTGGATGGCTAATATTGATGTTTAAATCTTAAGCTATTCTGAGTTATTGCAATAAAAATAATTAAAGGAAGCCTAATTCTGAAGTCTAATTGTATTTCACTTGTGACTAGGCCCGTATGTGTCATCACAGAAGAGAGGCATATATCATTTTTTAAATAGTATAGCTTAATCATTATGATAGTATTTTATACATATTAACTTGTTTAATTCTCTCAATAAACATATGAGATTAATACCATTATTGTTATCATTTTCAAAACCATAGCTCAGATGTAAGATCACTTCCCCAAGAACACAGTCAGTGGTAAAGCCAAGGTTCGAATAAAGACCATCTGACTCAGTTTATGTTTCACTCCCAAGACACCTTGTCTCTTTGCTTAAAAAATTTTAACGTGTATGTAACTGTTACATTTCAGACCATCTTGTTCTTCTGTGTACTTTTATATTACTGTAGGCTTTGAGATAAAATTCATGTATGCAACAGAGTTTTAGCTTCTCTAATCTCAGTTTTCTAAGATTTTCATAATCATACCTGAATTTTCGCAGACATCAAAACCAAAATTATATAATACATGCAGTGCTTTAAAGGTTTTAAGCTTACAAAATAATATGTTACATTTTATTTTCTATTTTAAAATAATCTGAAATATTTGAACTTATTACAACTAAGTTATTTGTATTAAAAATCTTAGATTATTAACATTCTTTGTAGATATTTTTAAACTCTCTAACCAGATTATAACTTTTTATAACTTTGGCGTATAAAAGTGTCAGCTAAAGTTTTCAGTGGGAAAAATATAGAAGTCAGCCCTAATAAAACTTTAGTAAAAACAAATACTATATGTGTAGTAATAATTATTTGAATTAAAAAAAGGTATATAATAATGTGCGAAAGTCTGTTGTATCTCAGAAGAAAGGACCAAAATAAAATACACATCTATAGTCCCATAGTTTTGGAGAAAAAATTAAAAGAATAAGGTACTAGATAGTAATTATATGCAAAATGAAAAAATGGTAATTTTGTGTTATATTTATCAATTTAAAATACTAAAATGTTTGGTTTTGATCAAGAAAGGTAAAAAGATCTACCATGAAATTATTTTTTTATGAGCTTTAAAAAATATATATCATTAAAAAGCATTGAGTTGCAGTCCAGTTTGCATATAATTCAGTGACAGAAGAGATCTACACTGCTTAAAGAAGACTATTAATCATAGTTAAGCACATTCATCTTATTTCTTTGCAGCTAACCAGCATAATGATCAGGATTATTATTTCTAATTAGAGGAAGTAATAGATCATGTATAACCTTAGGATGAGTCTCATTAATTAACCCAAGTCCTAGGGGACTTCAAATAGAGGTGGTTAGGCACTCTGTCTTTGTCATCACTCACACCATAGGTTTACATTTAATACATATGATCAAATGTAATTGAAACTACGATTTCTTAACATGCAAGAGATAGGAAATTCAGATGGCTCTCTCACATGTGAACAAATAAGGAGAAAAACAGAACAATTGTTTAAGCTCTATTATGTTGAAGTTACCTTGTTCCTAAATATTCTTTGAGAAACAGTTCCTTTAAGAACTAACAAATCTAGTTTCTGATACTTTTAGCACAAGAAAGAAAGGAGGACCCTATGGTTAAATATCTAAAACCAAACCAGTGTCTTTTCTCACAAAACTGCCTCTTTCTGTCATCTTCCTTATTTGTAATATCTTATTCTTGAATCACCAAGACTATGAACCATACATGCACATACTAAATGTAACTGTATAGCCTGTATATGTATTACATTATCTCAATATGATTAATTCACTTTCTTTGATGTATGTGTGTGTGTGTCCTTTGTTCACTTTAGAATTCTCAACCCTGTTGACTCATTCATCATTAGCCCTTCATTGACATTCTAACCCTCTGTCTAAATCCAGAATTATTACTCTAGTTTTGAGCATTACAGCAATCTTAAAACTGAGTTTCTCCATATACATAAAATGGTAGATAATAAATGATGTAAAAAAATAGAGCTGAGTAAGATAAGAAGTATCAGGGCTGAGAGTTGGAATTGTCTATAATTTTAAGTACAGTGGTGAGATTAGGCCTCATTAATAAACTGATATTTTTGTAAAGACTTTAAAGAGATGAAGCAGTTGGTCATGTAGATATATGGGGAATGGACAGCCCTAAGATAAGTATATGCCTGGAAAGTTCTATGGTCAAGAAGAACTGTAGTTGGAGTAGGGTGGGCAAGAGGGAAAGTGGTAGCAAGTAGTTCATAGAAGTAACAGGGGCTAGATTTTATAAAGCCTTGAAGGCTTCAATAAAGATTGACTTTTGATCTGAGTGCGATGAGAAGATATTGGAGGGAGGGATAAGCAGAGGAGTGAGATGACTGGAATTATATTTTAAAAGGCTTACTCTTATAAAAGATTAGATTGTTTGGGAGCCAAGAGTCCAGTAGATTAGTACTGAAGTTATTCAGTGGTTATAGGATGTAGGATTATTAGGATGGAGAAGTGGAGATAGAAAGATGTGATGGAATTCTACATATATTTTGAGAAAAGGGTCAAAGGGATATGCTGATGAGTTGACTACAGGATTTAGGAGAAAAGTGAGGAGCCAGGAACTTCTCCAAGATATTAATAGTTTAGTCCATGCAACTCAAATGATGCAGTTGCCATTGACTGAGATAGGAAAGCATCTGTATGAGTGTTGGAGGGAAACTTGTATTGCTGTTAGATATCCAAATAAGGATATCAAGTAGGCAGACCAATATATGAACCTAGAATTTAGGAGAAAGGACAGACATGAATTTGGGAGTGAAAGGCACTGATGGAAGCCATCAGATGAGATGAAATTATTAAAGGACAGAGTGTGTATTTAGAGAGAAGTAATTGAACTGGGTTCCGAAGCCAGTCTAATTCCAAAAACATACTCTTTAAATGCACTATTTTTAACTGCCCCTTTATGTGAATAAATAAGATTTTACATGATGAACTCTAATCAGTTTTGTAGAGAATCCAGTGTGAACAGTCTCCTGGAATACCCTGCACACCAAATTTATAACCATTCTTCAAAATTTCAACTACAATAGATGCTATAGAAACCTTTCTTAAAAGCTTGTTCTTTTCATCAGTATTTTTGTTATACCTTATTACTGTATCTCAATTATTATTTAACTGTTTTGAAAAGACATAGGGTTCTGTAGAGAGCCTCAAGTACAATGGTAGGGTCATGGGAGATTGAGAACAGGTTCAGGGTTCTTTCATGCTTTAAGCAAAGCAACTAGGATGTCATCTGTTCTATGTGCTGTTCTATTTCAGATGGTCTCAAATGCTGTATAAATATGTACTTTCAAGAATGAATAGCTTTAAGCTGACATAATTTTTGATATTGTTGTGTTTTTGCCTTTCACCTCATACTCCACCAAAATCTATGACAAAAATGACACAATATTTTAGGATGGCAATAAATCTGTTTTCAGAATAACTAAGTTTTACATATTTTATCACAATTTTTTGTGAAAGTAAAAATTCTAAATTCATAGATAAATTAGATACAGTCTAAGAGAGAATTAGTAAGCTTGAATGTAACATAGGTACCTCACTACATTGCTACCTCAGTTCCCATTTAGGTCTCATCAGTTGTCCCAATAATACTTTTCTCCACAAAACTAGTCCAGAATCATATTAGTTTTCCGTTATTGATTGTTGTATTTTGTGTGTGTGTATATATCACACACACACACACACACACACACACACACACATATATATATATATATGATAATGTTTTCATATGTAGGAAATACTAATGTAAATGAGAGTGGTAGTGATGGAGCATAATTTTGGCAACTTACTCTCAAATGGTTGAGGGGGAAACAGTTAATTATAGAGTCATTGCAACTTTTCTGTTAATTGGAGGTTTTTTCAAAAATAAAAATATTACTGTAAAAATTTTAAAATATTACTGTAAGATATTTTCATAAAGCTATTCACCAAAATCAGACATACTGAGTTTCAGAAACTAATAAAACTGTTTATATTCATTTTGTCAGTAGATACATTTTACGATTGCAATACAATGCAAAGGCAGTTTTTGCCTGATTGATCTGTTTGAAAACCAGAATCTGGAATCAGTCAGATCAAATTAACTAATTGAAAGACTACATGTAATAATATTGACATTTTTAATTTATCTCATACTTTATATGTTAGGATTGTCTAAAAAAGAACTCATACTCAATAATGAGAATAACATTATGTAAAATAGTGGTTGCTAATTGGTATTATATCTGTTTTTCCATATTAGATATTCAACTTTTGCCACTTGTGGAATATCATCATTGTTCTAAATTATTTAAATTCTCTTTGATTTTTCTAATGCATTTAACTTGTTTCTCCATTTCACTACCCCTAAAAATTACATCGAGAGTTTGTATTTTATTTTGAGATACCTTAGAGACTACAGTCTATTCCAGTGGGATATTTATTTGTTTGTACCGGTATGCAACTTATAACACAATTTTAATTGCTTTATTTGATAATTTATAGTCATGCCTGTAAATATTCTAACAAATATCTCTGAAGAAACACATTTCAAAACATAGTTTGAAAATAATTCTATATATTGGACTCAGTATGAATTTTTGTATAATCTCATATAATAATAAAATAAATGTTGACTTTTATAGGGAGTAAAGAAAAATTCATTCTAATGAGTATTTGGGTTCAGATTTAATACTTTGTTCATGCTTAAAAATCCTTATTTACATTGAGATTACCATTTCTATTTAAAAACAAGGAGAAACAATTCAAGTTGACTAAAAAGTCAACTAAAATCTACATCTATTTATCATTGCTTATTTGCTTGTGAAAACATTAGGAGTTTCAATTTTGTAATAGGATGAGAAATTTTTAAAAATCAACCATAGGTTTTTAGATATAGTTGTTTTTTGGTGTTTCTTCATTTTAGTTTTTAATGGGAGGAAGGGGTACCCATTGCAGTTGGTAGCCACCAAGGCTTAAAGATAATCGACACTTTATATACATTAATTAATTGCACGCATTTGGTTCAGGGAAGACCTGGGAAGTTACTGCAGAAGTTCCTCATGCTCATCCTTCTCCCAGCTGAATTGAAGACAAATTAGGAAGAAAGAAACTTTGTCGTCTTTACAATGGAAAGTAAAACAGAAACAGACATGGTAAATTATAATGAGAGCTAGTTGAAGATGTGTAGCAAAATTAAGAATATTTTATTCAGTCTTCTCATTTAGGTAATGTGAAGATTTTAACATTTCCCTGTTGACTATTCTCATTAGAAAAATGCCATTTTACTAAAGAAGGGGAGGAAAATATGTTAGAATATTTTAACTTATATTGCTAAATAGACAGGAAGGAAGGGTATGATATGATAAAATGAGTGTTTTTAATTGTCTCATTAAATATTTAATAATACTTTCTAGGGGAGAAATAACACTGCAGTAAAGATAATTTGAATCTACTTTCAAAAAAGCAGATTGATCTAAAATAGTTCAACTTATAATTTAGAGGACACAATTAGATGAATACTTTTGTTATTAAATTTTTTTTCATCTCGCTGTATTTAGATGGGAGTTATATAGGGTTATATTGAATAGGAATACTTTTATTTTTAAAAGTCTATTATGTTAACATTGGAATCAGGTAATAGACAACAGTTGTCCTTTCCCACTCTATCTAAAATAACTCTGCTGGCACCAGTAAAGTGCTGTCACCTTACCTGCTTTATTTCCCATTATGGCATGTTTCATTACTAAATATATACTTGTTTATTGTATATTTCTCCACTATAATATAAGCTCCCTTAGGACAGAAACTTTGTCTTTCTTGTTTAACCGAGAGCTGAGTTGTGATGAAAGCAGCAGCACATGACGTATAGTACAGACAAGTCAATTCCTGTTCCCTGAAAGAGAGATCAGTATTTAACGGACTCTATTTAGCAAATAGACTTGATTAACTAGCAGTGTATTCAGCAAGCAGGAAAAGAAAGCACTGAACAAATTGTATAAATAGGGATTTTTAGACCAAAAAGGACCTCAAAAGATCTTAATTTCCTTTCTAGTTCACAGGTGGTTGGGAAGATGAAGCCCGCACATGCCTCAAAACTCTCAATTAGGACTCCTGCATAAAAGGAGGTCTCTCTATAAGTTGATCTTTTTCTTTGCTTCTCATGGTGTTTTCCTCAAATTCTGCTTTATTCTGTCTCTTACACTTACTGTCTGAAAACTGTAACTTGGTTTTCATCTCACAGGAATTTCAAATGTTATTCCCTCTTCCTGACTGCCTTCCCCTCTGCCCAGTACTTAGATAGGCATGCCTTTCTTCGTGGAGGAGGTATTCCTGTTGAACACAGCACACATACACACATACGGACACGCACACGTTACAAAAACAGTCATATTATTGAAATTGTATATTGGTATTTCATGATTTAGAAATCACAGTGAGTCTTCTTCATATATAGTGTGCCTAATATTTATTCCATATATATAACTTTTCTTATAGATCACTCCTGTGCCTGGTACTCACCCACTTTTAGTTTTTGTGAACCCCAAAAGTGGTGGAAAACAAGGAGAACGGTATGTTTTTTAATTAATTTAAATGTCTATATCATATATGTGTAAAAAAATAGACAAAGCTATGATGTAAAAATACTTAAAAACAATTATTCCTCACCGTTTACTAATTTTAATGCAAAATAAATGGTGCCAGCACGCAAGACGTTCATATGATCTTAATTTTAGGACAAAAATTTTAACACAATGGCCTTTTGTAAATATTTTTATTTATCATAGCTCAGGTGTTTGAATTCTCTCTACCCCACCTATCATCCCATTCCCCTAGCAAAGAGCATGCCTTCATAAATACTGTTGAATGCAAATTGGTTTTCTAAACGGTAAACAAGATAAATTCAGGTAAGTCATAACCCAGTTCTAAGAAACAGAATTTATATCCAACTTCTAGGCAAAATATATTATAATGATTTTTCTGCTTGTGCATTTTGGACAACATGATGCCATATTTCCTGAAGAAGTACAATATATTTAATCTGAATAATAATGAGCTGTATTATTAGGTATTTCAGCATTCTGGCTTATAATATTTTAATTTTGTAACAAATCAATGATTAAATTATATTATTTAATACAAATATGTAAACTACTACGTTGAAGTGTTAATCTTATGTCTTACTAAAGAGGACGGTCATAAATAAAAATGCAGTCATCCCTGCCTTAATGCATTTTAGATGGCTTTTCTAATCTCAACCAAAAGTAAGCAAGCAGATTAAAGCACTCATAACAAACATGACAAGAGTACAACAAATTTCCTTTGTGGTTCACCAAATAGCAAAGTCGACATTTTCCCATAAATGTAGTAATTTTTTTCTACCCTTTAACTTTTCAGGTTTCTTTCCATGAAATGAAGAATGTTTTTCCTTATTGAATCATCAACAAAACATTTTTGCTTTAAAGAGTACAAGATTTTTAAGATGAAATTTGGGTGGAAAAAAAAGACAAAAAAAAAAAGAGTATAAGATTTTTTTTCTTTTCATCAACATCTAATTATGTTTTACTCCTGTAAACAAGATAGAAATTATTTCAAATTAATATTGGTTAATAATTAAAAATATTCACAATGCTTTAATAAATTAGTTTTACTCATAAAATAAATAATAATGCTGAAATTACTTCTTTACTACTTACAGTTCATCATCTATTGATAGCTTGAGCAAAAAAAAAAAAAGGAAACTTTTCACAAATAATTAGATGAGACTTAAATCCACATTGGAAATTACAGAAAATTGAAGCCTAAAGAAAAAAATTAATATTTTCAAAGAAAAATACTTTTTTCTCAAATTAAGGTAATATGAATCATGTAGAATGACCCTTAATTGAATATTTGCTTTCCCTTTTTGCCAGTGCATATAATTAATTTTCCCTAAATTAAAATAGATATCTATAGATAGATAGATAGATAGATACACTAAAGTCTTAAAGAAATTAAACTTACCAGGGGCTTCAATTTTGAGCTCTTCTAGATACACAACCACTTGTGTTTTATTCTTTGTACATTGACTGGGGCCATGCAAAGTCAAATGAAATGTAAAAATGTTTGCAACATGATCTATTATGAATTGTAAACATACATTTTTCTGTCTGCATAAGACATCTTTCACAAGATGATTCCATTCAGTGTTTTTCTTTCTATTCTTTTTTTTTTTTTTGGCTTTTTTACTTTGATATGTTAGATAAGTTGCAAAAGGTTACAGAATCATACCTCTGCATAAAGTTTTCCATATCAGTCAATAAGTCTGAAAATATTCACATATGTATTCAGGCAGCAACACCAAATTGAATCCAAACTCTACTAGTGACTGGGAATAAGAGGCATAAGACACAGTCATGCAGGCAGGCACGTAAATAGATCTATTGCAATGCCACATACTACAGGTTAAACTAGAAAGGTTTAAAATAAAAGTGCTGTTGAAGTTCACAGAAGGAGATAACCATCTCTGAAAACTAAGAAGTCTTTACAGAAGAAGTAGTTTTGTATTGGTTCTTATATAATAGATGTTTGTCAGATGAAAGAAGGAGAAAGACGGATTTGTGAAATGGCAAGGTGTCAACCAAGAGGAATTTACCAAGGTAACAATGTAGGGAGAAAGAGGGGGAGAGATAAGAGAGAACCTGCAGCTGAATTGTGAAGATGTCTGAATTTTATTTTTTATATAAGTCTCAATAACTTGACCTGAACAGAAACTTTGCATCATGGATAAGTCATGACTGTACTTTGACAAGAGTATAGAGGAGGGCTGGGTTGCCAAGAATTTTATAAAACTGGTGAGAGAACTTGAAGACCTTGACTAAGGCAGTAGGATGGAATAGCCAGATTTGATAAGCATTTTTAAAAATTTTGTTGCTAAGGCCAATGGCAAGAAGGATGTTTCCTAAGTTTTCTTTTAGGAAGGCACAGAATTCTCCACTAGTATGTTCAGGTGCTAAGGAAAAAAGGGTATTGAGAACAACTCTAGGTGATATAAGCAGGTATTACATAGTGAATTTGGAGAGTTCTATCAGTACATATCATAAGAATGTGTTTGTAAAATATATAATCATATTTTCACACCAATTTAGCAACCTAAACATATCCCTTAACTTTTAAAAATATTTTTAATTTCAACTTTTATTTTAGATACAGTAGGTACATGTGCAGGTTTGTTACATGGGTATATTGTGCTCAGGTAGTAAGCGTAGTACCCAATAGAGTTTTTTCACATCTTTCTCCACTCCTTCCTTCCCCACTCCGGTAGTCCCCATGTCTAGTGTTCTCATGTTTATGTCTGTGCATGCTAACATTGCATGCAGTATATGCACTATTTGGTTTTCTGTTCCTGTGTTAATTCACTTCGGAAGATGGCCTCCATCTCCATCCGTATTGCTGCAAAGGACATGATTTCATTCTTTTGTAATGGCTCTGTAGTATTCCATGCTATATATGTACTGCATTTCCTTTATCCAGTCCACTATTGATGGATACCTAGGTTGATGCCATGTCTTTGCTTTTGTGAATAGAGCAGGCATGAAAATAAAAGAGCATGTATCTTTTTGATATATAGTATATTTTCCTTTCAGATTTACACCCAGTAATGGGATTGCTGGGTTGAATGGAAGATCTGTTTGAAGTTCTTTAAGAAACATTCAAACTATTTTCTACGATGGCTTAACTAATTTACATTCACAACAGTGTATAGGGATTTCCTTTTCTTTGTAGCCTTGTCAGCATCCACTGGTTTTTGACTTTTAATAATAGCTATTCTAATTGATGTGAGACAGTGTTTTCTTGTGGTTTTAATTTGTATTTCTATGATGATTAGTAATGATGAGCAGGTTTTCATGTTTGTTAGTTTGATGCTTGTATCTCTTTTAAGAGTTGTCTTTTCATGTATTTTGCCCATTTTGAATGGCATTATCTGTTGATATTTTTCTCTCATTAAGTTCCTTATAGATTCTGGGTATTACATCTTTGTTAGATGCTTAGTTTTCAAACATTTTCTCCCATTCTACAGGTTGTCTCTTTACTCTGTTGATGGTTTCTTTTGCTATGCAGAAGCTCTGTAGCTTAACTGTCAATTTCTATTTTTGTTGCAACTTGAGGACTTAATAAAATATGTGTTGCGAAGGCCAATTTCAAGTGGGGTATTTCCTATGTTTTCTTTTAGAAATGTTGTTTGGGATCTCACATAGCCTTGCTTTGGCTATTCAGGCAATTTTTAGTTACACATTAATTTTAGAAGAATTTTTTCCAAGTCTTTGAAAAATGACATTGGTAGTTTCATAAAAATAGTGTTAACTCTGTAAATTACTTTGGGCAGAATAGATGTTTTAGCAATAGTGATTCTTCCATGAGCTTGGAATGTTTTTTTCATTTATTTGTATCATCTCTGATTTCTTTCAGCAGTGCTTTATAGTTCTCCTTATAGAGCTGTTTCACCTGCTTGTTTAGTTGTATTCCTAGGTATTTCATTTTTTGTTTGTGTTGCTATTATAAATGATACTGTATAATTGACTTGACTCTGCCTGGATGTTATTGAAATGCTATGAATTGTTATACATTTGTATTGTTTCTTGAAACCTTGCTAAATTATCAGTTCTAGCAGGCTTTTGGTGGAATCTTGAGAGTTTTCTGAGTATAGATTCACTGTCAGTGAAAAGAGAGAGCTTGACTTATTTTCTTATTTGGATGCCTTTTATTTCTTTCTCTTGTCTAATTGCTCTGGCTAGCACTTCCAGAAGTATGTTGAACAGGAGTGGTGAGAGTGGGCATGTGTTGTTCCAGTTCTCAATGGGAATGCTTCCAGCTTTTGCCTGTTTGGTATGCTGTTGACTGTGGGTTTGTCAGAGATGGCTTTTATTATTCTGAGGTATGTTCCTTTTATGCCTAGTCTGTTGAGGATTTCCTTTTTATGAAAGGATTTTGTGTTTTGTTAAATGCTTTTTCTGCATCTATTGAGATAATTATATGGATTTTGGTTTTAATTCTGTTTATGTGGTGAATCATATTTATTGATTTGTGTAGGTTGAACCAACCTTTTATCCTAGGAATCATGCCTGTGTTAAATTAACTTTTTGATGTACTGTTATCTCTTCACTTTTACTGTTTGTCTAATAATTCAAACCATGTGAGATAGGTGCATGCATAGAAACATTTCTATTGCATTTACTTACAGAAATTGTTTTCTTTCAGAAAAAAATAATTATTTAATATGTGCTGCTAAGACGGTTTAGCAATTTTGTGAGATGACTAAGATTTGCTTATATGAAATGATTAGGCCAGATGAGGCTACATTCTTTGCTTACATGAACATATGTACAATGTACAGTCCCATTTTATGTAGGGGATAGATAATTTTCAGATCTATTAGAGATCTATGGAGAGATGAATTATCCACAAAAATTTATTGAGAGAAGATATTTAAGCAATTTTATGCTGAAATATTTAAAATGCATAATTTATTTGAAATCTAGTTAGCTAAATAATGTTCAAAAGAGGTTTAGAGAATATTCTAAACATATATGCATATTAAGGATGCAAGCAATATTGCTAACTTATGAACTATATTACCTTTACAGTAGCTACCAAACCTTTAAAGAAACCAATCATTCCTATGGAGCTCTTAGACTTCTGATATTTAGATTCAAATTTTATTAAATTGATAGAAATTATGTGTTAATTTATATCATTAATTTTAACTATATATATTTTATAACACTGAGACACATTACTTTTTTTAAAAGTATTGAGTAGTATTAAATTTTCTTTTTTTCCCACATTTTCACCTTTATAGAATTTACAGAAAATTCCAGTATCTACTAAATCCTCGTCAAGTTTACAGTCTTGCTGGAAATGGACCAATGCCAGGGTAAGCCCAGGGATTATATTATTACCATCAACTCAATTCATGTTAATTAATTAAATAAGCTGCCTAACATATCTAGAAATGTTATTTGAATACAGCAGGATATTAGTACATAGAAATGTAATATCAACTGCATAAGAGAAACCAGTGCAAATAGTGGTTTTCCAAATAGCCCATTTCTAGCAGATTTTTCTTCCTTCTAAAGATTGTGAAGTAATGCTCCTTATTGTACTAATAATATTAATAATCACACACATACATATACACAGACAAAATAGCTGAATGCCAGTTTGAACACTGCCAAACCATGTACTTGAAGAACCGCTCTTTTTTATTGTACTTCTTATATTTAAAATATCTGCTAAAAAGTAAAGAGAAAGCTAGTTAGCACATTTATGCCTAGTGTTCCATTATTGGAACACTGAGCATCTGAGTGTTATTTATATTCTACTGCTCAAGGTCGTCGCCAACATCTGATTTTTAAATTCAAATGAAATTCAAAAAATTGTAACCTCCAGCATAAATGGGTTAAAGAAAAAAAAAGCATATGATTTCATTTACTACTTACAAAATCTAGCCAATATCACTCTCTTATAATATACTTCATTGTTAACAGGTAAAATGTAGTAAAATAAGACACATATTTTTAACACAAACTTTATACTTTTGATGTCACCAATATGCACTTAAACAAATCATCAACTTAGACTAGTTAAATAATTAATGTCATTTTCTTTCATTGACCTCTTTTCTATCAACATGAGAGTAAACATTAGACCACATGAAGTGAGCAAAAGGTCTATAAGCTTTATACATGCTTCATTTTTTTTAAAGCAGTTAATTTAAAATAAGTCTTATAGCTCATTCTCAGGAATAAGAAACCAAATATTTAAATGACACTCTTTTAAAAACTCAGAATAAAATTTGTACCATAGCATCTTATACAAAAATAGGTTCATTAAGTATAATTAATTAGCATAGTCTCCCTGCATTATATTCAGCTCTTTCTTCTACTGCCTTGCTGCCTGCTATCTGGGATCAGTTTCCCAATGCTGAGCAGTAATCTGCAGAACCTCCTTCTTAAAGATGTTGGGCTCATCACAGGAATTTGGTTCAGAACAATGTCTTTGTAAAGCTCCACTCTCCAGAATCTAGAGGATCATGATCAGACTGCTGGCTAAGTGAACCAGCTATATGCTGGAAGTCCCCATGTAGATAAAGCCAAGCAAAAGTAAAGTATTGTAAACTCAGAAGCTCAGTCAGTATGGCTCTTTTTCCTGTCCTTTAATATTCTCTGGACATCAAAGAAGTAGATCTTCTGTAGAATTAGGATATTTTGCATTCAAAACCGTTGTCATTCCAAGACCCCTGTAAGTTGACTCCAACTTCCAAATAGCCCATTTTTAGCAGATTTTTCTTCCTTCCTGGAAAACCAAGGAAATCCAGGATTTTCCTGTATTTCATAGTTAAACAAGAGGTCATTTGGCTCTCCTAATTATAAGCCTTATAGTTTAACCTCTGTGTGGTTTCATTATGTTACCTGTAAAATAAGGATTTGTGCCTGCCTTAGAGGAGAGTTGTGAGGTTAAATGGGATAATGCCTATAAAGCAAATAACAATGTGCTTACTGCATAGCATGTCCTCAATGAATGTAGCTTTTATCTATATTATTTGCAGGAAAATGAATTAATAATTAATTAAACATGACTATTTCGCAGCTCTGTGTCAATATATTGGAATCAACTTAATTTTAGCCCTGTTCTCTCATTCACTTTCTTCCTACCACAGTTTAAATATGTACTACATGTTTCCTTCTACTCTTTCAGTTCTAGGCATCCTATTATCCTCTGCTCTATCTTAACATATTTAAAAAATGAAAGTAATATAAGTAACTGTCAAAAGTCTACACTACAATTAATATTATTTAGAAAATTTTAAGAGTCCCACTTTAAGCACTACTACTCCTCAGAAATCATTATTGTGATTGTTTGGGTATATTGTCCCAAACAATCTAATAAACACATATAAATGAGCATATCCCTCTCTGTGTCTCTATAACATTTGTACACACACAGATATATATGTTAGATATATAGTTAGATAGTTTTTTATGTAACAGTATAGATTTTATATTGCCTTGCAACTTGCTTTCTATGCTCTAAAGCAGGTGTTACACATTGTTCCATTTCAGTAGATATTGATCAGTTTCATTTTTCTAACTGCTGCATGATAATTCCATAATTATATCAGTCATCTCATTACTGCTGAATATTTAGATTGCCTGTGTTTTACAGTTATTATCAAATATGCCACATGAATATCTATCATTTTGTCTGCATATTCTTGAAAGCATGTTCAATTATTTTCATGGAATCACTGGCTATGGGTAGGATTGTCTAGCTGAAAATATTTAATGTCAAAGTTGGTTTTAAAAAATGAATTTAAATAGAATTGTGTTGAACTTTTTGTTTCATCTAGACCACCATGAGAATACCTGTTTGCCTCTGATATCAATACCCACACTGCATCCCTAGTGTCAGACTCACACTTCTGTTAGAGAGCTAGTCTTTGTTTATCCTCAAGGCAAATGCCACAGGTAGTTGCTCAGAATGGGGACTCTGGCCCGGCTATGATGTTGCCCTTTCTCTGAACCCAGTGAATGATCTGCTCATTTGTAAACCCTCGCTGCCCTGCTTCTAGCTGTACTGCCCCTGATCATGCCAAGATTGTCCTATTGCAGTAATTCCCTTTTAATGTATTGCGTTAAAAGTTGCTCTATTTCATAAGGTCTCCCTATGACTCTGATACCCTTGGTGATTTATACATTTTAGTTCTATCACCATTTCTGGTTTATTGCTTTAACAATTCTAACAATAGATTTTTGAATGTATACTTTTGAAAGTGTAGTATGCATTTTATCTGCAACTTTGAACCTGTAGTTATTCATTGTTCCAAATTCTTCTTAAAAAATTTTTCCTCTTTACCACATCAGATTGATGTATTCTTTTGGTATACAACTCTTCTTTTATCCCAACTCTATTTTTTTCAAAAACTTTGTTTATAAGAGGAAATAACTTTCTTGATGCACTAAAACTATTTATAATGTAAATTAACTGGCAAATACTAAAACTCACTGGGCATTTCATTTTTTTTCTTTAATTATTTTTAAAACACGATGGGTATGTATATGTCTCCATTCTATCTTCTTATATAAATTATCCCTCCCTGATTCTGACTATTCTGTTTCAAGATGTCGGAAACAATAGTCTGTTTCAAATAAGTTGCTTTCTTCCTGATGGAACATATTGTGATATAACTGAATAAATTATTTGGAGGTATAGCTTAGTTAGAAAAGATGAAATACAAAATATAAATTACTCTTGGGTTTTACCTAATGATATGTTTTCCTTCACTACATTAAAATAAGTATGTATATCTCTAGCTGTACACCATCTTCACATGTTAATGTGACTTATAAAAATTTCACATCAAGTTTTTTATATACTTGTGACATTACTTTTCCCCTTCTGACTCTAATATTCATGAAAATACAGATGGTTTATTTTCACATTATTTCTAAAATTTTAATTCAGAAGTAGAAAGTATTTATTGAACTTAAATAAAATACAAGAAAACTTTAAAATATGCAAATTATTTTCAGATTGATCAGCATAATTAAGAATAATGAATTGTTTGTGAGAAAGCTGCTGTTAGAAATCTTTGCTTTCATCTACCTGAACTAAATGCAAATCACACATAATTTAAAAAATATAATGCAATAGTCAACCTGCAGATTCACATATTCAAATATCATGCATATTTCTATAGCAAAACTTTGGAGACTATATTCTCCTATTAAAATAAATGTGTAATTTAGAAAATGTGTAACAGATTCCACAGATTTCATTAACTTCTTAATTTAAAATTTAATTTTATATAACCAATTTTCTACCATATTTTATTTAAGTAAAATCTCTCATTAATCTGAGCTTATGACCTTTTACGTATGCCTCTTGTTATATAATTATGACACAGAAATGAACAGAATCCTCAAAAGGCTAAGGAAATGTTCATCTAAATTTAGTTGAGCTCTGTTGCAAGTTTCAAAAATAAAAAAATTTTCTTACTAATGTAAAAGTGTAGCATTTAACTCTCTTCTTCTTATGATTATTCATAAAATAAAATGCAGGTGATTCTGCAAGCTCTCCCCCAGTTAAATGTGTAAGCATAATTCTGACTCTGGCTTGGCCACTGGAGTGATGGAGTTTGAAAACTGATTTATGTTTCTAAATTAAAGACCTACAGATTAATAAAAGTAACAAAAATTCATTACCATAATTAATAAAGTCATATAATTGCTTGCCTCTCACAAAAATTCCCCTATTTGGGTCATTATAGGTCTGTAGTCACACATCCACAAATGTTCTATGATTTTAAAGATGTTGAAAAGTCTGAACTTTTATTACTTATCTCACCAATAAAGGCTAAATGGCACTTAGACTAGAGATCTGCATGTCACTATTTAAAGATTATCACCTGTCAAAATTGTTGAAATCTTCTAAAGAAAAAAACATGTTTTGAATTGGCCATTTGAAATGACCAGTTCATATTTGCATATGTGCTTTAACTTGGGTTTTATTCTGTTCTGGCTGCTATAACAAAATCCCTTGGACTGGCTCATTATAAATAACATAAATTTATTTCTCTCAGTTCTGAAAGCTGGGAAGTCCAAGTTCAAAGGACTAGGAGATTTGGTGTCTGCTAATGGCTCACTTTTTGTTTCCAAGGTAGTGTCTTCTTGCTGCATCCTCTGGAGGGAATGAATGCTGAATCCCCACATGACAGAAGAGCAGAAAAACAGCTGGCTAGTTTCCTCAACCCCCTTTATGAAGGCACCAATCCCATTCATAAGCGAAGAAGCCTCATGACCTAATCACATCCTTGGTACCCCGCCTCCTAATACTATTGCATTGGGCACCGAGTTTAAGCATTAATTTTGGAGA